ATCGCTTGAAGATTGATTTGAATTTTGGCTCAGTTCAAGATTCAATTAAAATAAATGAGCCAAGCTGCGAGCCAAAAAAATTGGATAAAAATTTTTTTAGCCAATTTTGAGCTAACCCAAGCTTGGCTCGAAATTGGGTCGTTAACAACATATGACTTTAAATTTAGTGAATTTAGCTTGCAAATCATTAATTGCTCAAAGATTGATTTGAATTTTGGCTCAAATCAAGATCAGATCAGTTTAAACGCGCCAAAATTTTAGATCAAATTTTTATCATGCCAATTTTGGGTCGACCACAGCTCAGCTTGAAAGTGAATTGTTAGCAACTCTAATTACTTCTAGAATCGGTGTTAAGAACATATGTGTTGCTTTATTTATTGATGCTATTACTATACATTTACAGTGGGATGCACCTTTGAGTATGTTTTTCGTCAATGGTCTCCTTCTTGTGGATAAGATTAGGAAAGACTTAGAAAAACTTAACTTATGAGGCTGATATTGGAGTTGAAAGTCCATTGTTTGAGTGGATCTAGAACTGAATACTTGAAATGTATTTTTAGTGGCAGTAGCTCTAGCGGCAGAGTTGTAACAACGAGTGATCAAAACATTTAAAAGGTGTGAACATTCAAGATATCTCAAATGATTTGTTTAAAATGATGGTGATATGGATGGGGATGTGATTAATTAGTATATTTCAAATTAGTTGGTTGAAGTGGAGGAATGCATCATGCCTATTGTGTGATAGAAAATACTTCTTAGACTTAAGGAAAATTTTTTATAAGATGGTGGTAAGACCTGCACTGCTCTATGACGCAGAATGTTGGCCTTTAGATTAAGGGGTTGTTTGATAAAAGGATTTAGCTTGAATGTATCTTAATAAATCATGCAAATTTAAATTATCAAATTTTGAGATATGTACCAAATTCGGATTATGATTTAGTTCAAAAAATTATAATCGCTCTGAAATTGATTTTAAGTTTGACTTACGTATGAAAATTGAATTGAAAAAAATACGTCGAGGTATGAGCCAAAATTTTGGATCAGATTTATTTGAATCCTATATATCAAATTTATTTGAAACCAACATCATCTCGGCTCGAAGTTGTATCTTTTAATATCTGAGTATGTTATTTCTGTCAAGATCATTAAATGATCAAACATTGACTTTTAATTGATTACGGCGTCTCCATCTAAAAGTGAATGCCGCTATAGCTACGCAGCCACTCAAGTGAGGTGGAGGCATGGAGCACAACGCTATCTGATAAAGAAGAACGTAAGAAGAGGTCATCTTACTTCAATACCCACTCCCACACCCACCCCCACATTCTCTTATCCAACGCTCTCGCCACCTCCCCAACCTCCATCTATGCCCCCGCCTACGCACCCACCCCTCACTGCCCAAGCCCATACACTTAACCACACCACTTCTTCGACCCTCACCTCTACACCCAACTATGTACCTCCTTCCCTGCCACAGCCTTAGCACCCACACCCACATGA